CTTTTGAAAAAAATACCATAGAAGTGAAGTGCTATCGTCATCACATTGTATGAGAGGGTACATGATATCACTGGGGATGTTAAAGGGTAAAAATACTTGAGTTCTCTTCCTTAAGTACACAGTATTAAAGACCCTTAATTACTTATACCTTTCTTGCCACCCATAAAATAGGTTTAGCTTCTTTTTCTCTTATGGTGTGAGCATTAATATTTATTTATTATATAAATTCCTAGTGAATTCTTACTTTGTGCTGTCAGGCAATTCATTGATTTCATGAACTCAGTGAATCCTCATTTGTAATGTAAGTGCATTAAACTAGAATACAGACCCCTCTGAGAACACGAAGAAAGCCAATGAACCTTTTGCATAAAAATACACAAAGGTACGTACTTAAATGTTATAAAACAACCTCAGGGCATTTATATACCTCCCTGACCCCTAGCTATTGGGGTCAGGTTGAGAACCCTGAGTAGAATGATTCCTAAGCTTCCTTGAAAATAAAGAGACTAGGGCCGGCCCGGTGGTGCACTGGAGAGTGCGCTGCTTGGGAGCGTGGCAGCCCTCCCGCTGAGGGTTTGGATCCCATGTGGAGACCGGTTCCCGCTCACTGGCTGAGCGTGGTGCGGGCGCAACACCGAGGGTTGCGATCCCGTTGCCGGTCAGTAAAAAAGACAAAAAGGAAAAAAATAAAATAAAATAAAGAGACTATTAGGACTTCTTTATCTTCCCAATCACTTTATTGCTTCTTCGTACATACAAGACACACTATATTTGTATCTAGTATAAATTAATGAAATGGTGTAGAATGAACGTGGTATTCAGATCAATCTAAATTCTTTGTTAAACCAGCCAGCAGCCAAAAAAAAAATTCTTTATTAAAAATCTGATATTGATGTATACTTACTATTTGTTCACAAACATTATCTGTCACTTTTAGCAGCTGTAATTACAGGGATCAGTTTCCCAATCTGCCATCTAGGAGACATACCCCAAGTGAGCATTTGCAGTTTTCCTAGCATCAGTTTGTTGGAAGGTGTCTGCTACGACTCAGTTTGCAAAAGACTCAGCTGTCAGAACACCAGGCAGAGACTGACTTACAGGGTTTGATCTGTTTCACAGCCTTTTAAAGTGCAAAACATTAATTATCTGTTTGATAAGGCATCAATGCCTGTTCAAGAATAAGACTCTCCTTTATTCATGTGTCATAGATTGATAAACTAAGCTCTAGCAAAATAAGCAGACTGCATAGAAGAATTGGACCTTTGGTAAATGAGTGGTTTTGGGACTAATCAGTATCCTAACAAAGTACACAGACTGGGGCACATAATGATAGAAAAGAGGGTCTAGATGTGGCCTGGGA